TCTTCCAAAATGTATATGAAAGTAAGTATATCTGAGACTACATCTCAGTTTGCTAGAAATTGTCATAGATGGGCTGCTACTTATCCTCACCAAATGCTCGAACCCCCTCTAAAAGGTAGTTTTGAGGAACAAGAAACATGAAATTATGACATTCAAAATATCTTACTTTGTCATTAACCTTATTTTTCCAAGCAATGCTCTTAGCACAGAAATTAAATAGAACTAAGTATTACACCTTAATCGCTAATTATTAGGCAAATATTAGGACATATAAAAATGCTAAATAGGTGGTTTGAGAACTCAGGACTTGTTATTCAAGTGAATAATATTCATTGAGGGAAAAAAAATTTCTCTTACACAAATTGAGTTCTCATTTCTAGTAAAAACCTTTTCCTGTTAACAAGAGAAAACTGAAACTAACATCCCCTTCTTTCCCCCTTGGTATCTCATAATTTCATTTCATGGAAATTCAGGTAGCATTGACATGTCTATACACCTTTGAAGAGTAAAAGACCAGTATAAAGCCCACTCCCAAAAACTCAATGTTTTCCTTAAAGCCTAAGTTACAGTTATGGAACTGGCAGTCTGCGTCCCAGTTGAAAGTCCTGTTACAGCCTGTAGAATAGATACTTTCCATCCTGAGCCTATATGCCTGCAGCTGCTGTGAAAATTTCATAACAGTAAAGCTAACTGAAGAAATATACTCAGAACAATACTCTTGTCCATAAGGCATTGTTTGGGCTTACATAAAACATCCGATAGCATATTTAAATTGCTATTCTTTTTTAGAACTGCAGGAGACAGAACAAAGAAATGGCTTTTTTAAGAGTCCCACAAAAAGCAAAGTAGAGGTCCTCGGGGCAGCACAGAGCAGCTGTTCCTGGTGAGAAGCTGCATATACATACAGATGACTGACTTGCTGAACACTGGGAAAAAGACGGGATTAAAAAAAACCCTTAAACATCACAAGTTGAATAACACCTGGGCTTGTACATACCTTCTGTCCTCTCCAGGAGAAGAGGTGCAGGAGAGGATAGTCTCTCTTTTATTTCCTTCCCACCTCTACACAGTTCTGCAACCCCAAACCCCTTCCCCTGTCCCAGTATCAGCAACTCTGTACAAGGTTCATGGGGAGGCAAGACCTTTATCTGTCTCTTGTACTGCCTTCATGTTTTGAGATTCCAAAAGGTTTCTGCAACTTCGCTTGAAAAGCTACACACACTTCAAACTTGTACAGAGCTAAATTTTTTAAGTAACAAAACTTGTCTGACAGGTGGATCTTGAAAAAGAAAATCATGAGAATTTAAATCTTGAGAAGATTAATGGGATACTCTGCTGTGATCAGACACCACAGAGACCTGAAGTTTTACACAGTCACTTATGAAGGCAAAGAACAAGTGTGAGCCGGATAAAATCCTCAGGAAGAAACCCAGACATTGTTTACAAATTTCAAATGACAAAATAATTACCTCACAGTAAGAAGCACTAGTATCAAATCATCTTCATTTTTCCAATACTGTGCCTTTGGAAGTAGTGAATTAAATACTCTTCTTCAAGAAAAGGCTTATAGGGTTTTTTGGTTGGTCAGGGGTTTTTTCATATATATATACATATATAAAATATATGTATGTATGTATGTATGTATGTATGTATGTATGTATGTACGTTCTATCTTTGATCCTGACAGTTTTCAAGTAGTTTTTCTGGAGAAGCTGGAGACAACCCAAAAGTTCAGCAGTAATGCTATCGTATGTCAAAAAAAAAAAAAAAAAAAGCCCGGAGTCGCTCCTACAAAGCTCTTTATTAGAGAAGCAAAAAATTATTTTTACAATACCACCTTTAAACCTCTTGTACTTGAGACAGATCTAAGAAATCTACCTCAGCTTGGAATGAAGAGTCATGACAGTGCCATGAGATCAAGGAAAAAAGTTTGAAGTTTCTTTGTACAAGAAACACATCTCAGCAATTCCATTCTGGAATTGTTCTATCAGTAAAAAATATTATGTCATATTCAACTATGCCCACCAACCCTCATGGCAGGACTTTGAAGATTTCAGTACTGCAAATCGATTTCCTTTGCTATTTTTGAAAGGGCTCTGACCATGGGTGATCCTCGGCAGCCCTGCTGCATCCAGGACACTTCCACTGACCAAGGCACACACTACTTGTATTTCTGCTTAAACTTGGATCTTGCCCAATGAAAGGCCTGGCTTTCTTCCACCGCAGCTCTATTAGCATTGCAAGCAAAGAGAATTTATGCAGAGTAAAGGGACTGGCATTCCTTCTACAATAGGGCCAATTGTCTCAGGCTGCCACATTCAGTTAAATGTTTACTTTGTTGTTTCACAACTCAACAGGAAAGAAAGGTCAGACAAGCCCTACTGCAGAACAAAGATGTTGTCATTCATCTATTCACCTCAAGCCAAGATTCCAGTGGGAGACTACTGCTTTCCAGTTTTTTTCCTTTCTCTCCAGGAGACAGACACCAGGTAGTAAATTAACACTCCAGCAATTCTGCCAGTCTGATTCCATATTCTAGAAAAAACATTAGATGTCAGAGTATTCTATCGAGATCCTGAAAGAGGAATATTGCCAGGATTTGTCCACCAAGCCTGGCTAATTGAGAAAGATTATTCTCTTGAGACTACCCTTGAATACCATCCTTTTTGGCACACTTGAAAATGAGAGCTAAAGCAAAGACAGAGCCATGCAGAGTTTCCTGTAACACAAAACTCTCTGCTTGAAGTGGTGAAGACCCTACTCAGATTCGGAGTCCTTCAGAAACTGCACTCTGCCAGCACAAGGTTAAAATAAGAACAACTGTTTAACAGGAATGAGACTGCTATTCTTGACTTTTTATGAACAGATAACCTGCAGTTTTGTTCTCAGTTGATGAAGTATGAATGCACGCAGACAGACACTTAGCCACCTACGCCATTAAAAATAGCCAAAATCTTCCTTAACCTATGCATATTTTCTTTCTCTGTTCAATTAACACAGGGAAAGAAACAACAGACTACACAATGAAAACCTGTCACAATAGTAATCAATCTATTACTGTCAAGAAATACACATGGGTCAAATAAACAAAACGTAATTTTCAACTAATGGCAAAGATGCTTTGAGCCTGTAAAGAAAACATGGATTATTTAGCCCTGGCATGAATAACTCCTGCTTTGATGAAATTTGGACCACATTGTTTCTGATGGTCTCAGTAGCCAGATGACTGTTGAGACTGCCTTAGATGGGGTAGGTCATACCCCAGCAACACCTGTTTTTCTCCACTGACTGATGAGGAAACCAAGATAACCAGCTCCAAAGCAGAAGTTTATATTTGGACAGGCAAATCCTTCCTGCTTTTTCTCTTCCTGAGCACAGCATGCAGTTCACAGGTTCAACAATAACTCTAGGACCTGAAGAGACTGGTGTGGCTGCAGAGTCTGGGAGATTTCAGCTTCCTGAAAGACTATAACCTCAAAACCAAAACACCAGACCTTTTCTGGAATACACAGGGAAATCCCAAACTGGGGAGGAGGAAGGGAATGACAAAAAACCACCACCACAGCTAATGGAGCAGACAGGTATTAACCAAACCTTCCACCTTCTGCTCACACAAAGTAAATAGTACTTGTTCTATAGCTGGTTAAAAGCATGGGATGAGCAACCTGTACATTCTTCCAAGATGACAAGCATGTATTCAACCCCCAGACTCCTTAAAGAAACTACAAAATCTATCACTGACCTAAGACAGCAACAGGATTTGACTGGAGAAGCACAGATTTCTCGAAAACTGTCCAGTCTATAAACAGTCGGCCACATAACTCAGTGATGCACAGAAAATCCCTGGAGATGACTCATAACTCCTCCTCACAAAGCTGACGGGAACATTCCCGGGCCAGCTATTCCGGCCACAAGTACTCTTCTAGTCACTGGATAAGAGCTTTGTCATTCACAGCAACCTGTACCAGTGAAGTCCTGACTCCTCTAAGTGACTAAGCAAAGATCAGGTTTTTACAGACCAGACCGGATCAGACAGACTAGGCTTTCCACTTCAAAATGGTCAGAAGTCTTCAAATAATCTCCAAGTTCATATATGACTGTGGGTATATTTTGTCAAGTCAGTAGGATTTTCATTCCCACGTTAATACTGTCATGTAAGCAAAGAAAACATTTTCCTATACAAACTATCTTATATCACATACTATCCTAGCCAAACAGCATTTTAAGTTATATGTGGAGACTGAAACACCATCACTGATGACTTGCAAATGGGTAATAGGATACAGAGTGCTATTATATTACTAATATTACTATATTACTATTATTATATTACTGTATTCCATTCTAATTCCACCAAATCGCTCTCAGTTTTATTTTGTAACTGAGATGCGACAGGGCTATTATGGTACTGCATTCATAAATTCGTAATATGTAAAAAAAGTACTGACCTCCTGTCACAGAGATAATACAAGCAGATTTAGAATTTTGCTCATAGTGTCACCACAGATAACGTACAACACGAAAGATATTTCATTTCTCTTCGAAGTGACTCAGATAAGACCATGACACAATAAAAAATTTGTCAGCAAGATTTCTTGGAACATTGGATATCTGCCATTTTACTCAAGAATTGCATGTATCTCAGTCTCCTGGCTAACACAGAATTTAAACAGGAACAAACATCCTCAGTGGTTTTTAGAAGATACTACCATATTTTATTCTAAAAGCCACAGGGATGAGCCCTCTGCTTTATATACTAATACGTGTGTTTCATTTGGCTGACTGTAAATACAGCTTTTCAGAGCTGAATGTTACAGCTTAATGACACCAAGTAAACAGTAGTGGCTCATGCTCTCACAAAAACAGGTGGTCAGAAATGAGCTGTGCTCCATTAGGAGACTGTCCCTCATCTTTTGAACCTTCTCAGAAGGGAAATTTGAGAGCATGTAGGAGTAGCAGCACAGACAAACAAATATATTTCGTAAAGAAGAAACCCCAACTCTGCAGAGCACAGAGATCTCATGCTCATCTTACAGTGCAGACACCATTAAAATGAAGAGTGCAGTAGGGATCCCACTTCTGGCTCTCTGGAAATTCAGGCTCTGATCCAAAGCCTAGGTGTGCAGCCTGGACTCTGTTGTGCTGAGACTGCTGTTAAGACGTAAGAAAGTGTACAAGTTTTACAGGGTCAAATTGTGGACAAAGATGTAATAATCGAGACATGAATAACAGTCTAATGATTCAAGGAAAGAAATACTAACATAAAAAGGTAACACAAAGCCAAAAAAATCTAACAAGAAAAAGAGAGCAAAGAAATTTCAGGTTTTGTACGAATTCTACTCTCTGTGAGGTCCCAGTGCTCCTGTAGATGTTCATGCAACTGCTCTTCTCCCTTGATTACAATTCACTAATATCCTACCACAGTCAGAGAAAAGCACTGGCATGAAAATGATTGCCATACATCTTCCTTTATAGTCCTTCAGATGATTCATAAGCAATTATTTAGAAGTCAATAAAATTGTTCATCTATGGGGATGAGTCAGAGAATTAGGAAGTGACTCATATTCCAGACTATCTATGTGGACCTCAGAGTCTTTTGTCAGGATTCCTTCAAGATCAAAACTATTTCTAAGACTGATTACTTTGTGACACAAGCACTGTTGTCGACTGATTAAAAATATATTATGATAAGGAGAGAGGTGAGGCTCAGCGTGCTGAAGACAAACACATACACTGTTTCACTGGCCATATTTACTTTTATACACACATGATGGACATATTTCCAACAGCCTATTGCCACACACTTGAATGCAAATAACAGTTATCTGATGTTAGACCAGTAAATAAACCCCCACACTGTTATGTTTACAAGCATAAACACTCAAAATTATTTATTACAAAAATTAATATTATCTATCAGTTGCTGACACCTAGGAATGAATATGGCAAAATATTTTTAAAATACTATCTACACCTGGTAAAGGGCTTTCAGGCACCTTATGAGCTCGGTTTGGGTTTTTGTTTGGTTTTATCTTCTGTTGGTTGGTTTGGTTTTTTGTTTGTTTGAGGTTTTTTATTTGGGCTTTTTTTCCCTCAGAAACTTAACTGAGTACTAATAAAGGCATATCTATGTTAAACTTCTTTCTGCATGCTAAGTACTGCTATAAAGTGAACATCATCAAACAGTATATAATTCCTAGACATGTGCTACAGTTATTTACTGCAATGCACACTCTAAGCAAGCTAAAAGTAAATTTCATATTTCCTAGAGCTTTACTCCTGTTCATCATTTAATGCCTGTTCTTTATAGTAAGTGGTTTGTGATAGTATGTAGGTGGAATCTGGAAATGAAAGGCTGTTCCTCAATCATGGCTATGCTGTGTGCTGAGAAGTTAATTTTATTATTCATGCATTCACAGAAGAGGCCAGAAGGACATGGGCACAACTATAAAACAGATTCTGTAGTGGTTTTCATATGGGGATTACTTCTTAGCAGCAGCAAGGAAACTCTTTATTAATCTGTCAGAAACCATTAAGGGGCCATTCCCCTCTGCTATGATGAAATCAGAGTAAAACTACACTTGAATTAATTTTTCAGATTGTAAAAAGATGGTTAGGAACCACAGAGGAGGAATGTAGTGCTCCAGATTCTGAAGTTTGTGGAATCTAGGTTCATACTATGATACTACTGCAGTATGTTTTTACTTACTTTTAGTAACCACAGCACAATGGCAGTAAATTGTGACGGTCTTGATAAAATACCCTGGTGTTTAATAGTATAACAGCCAAGTCTGGTTACACTTTTGGCACAAATCACCAGAGAACATCTGTTTTAAAAAGTAGCTGCTACAATTACAGCTATATATGAGGGATTAGCAATGCCTTTGAAATATACCTTCATACTCTCATAGGCATGTTTGCAGCTGGAGGCAAACTGAACTGAAAATAAGCAATGTGAGTTGGAGTACACATTGTGACATAGAAAATACCAACCACCTTGTCAATCAGCTCTTCAGAAATTAAACAGATTGTAGAAAAGCCATCCCTTAGCATTTGTGGTTTGCAGCAACCGAGAGCCCAAAGCATTAGACTCAAAATGAATGAGCAGGAAAGGGAACGCTTGAGCAGTTCCAATACGCTGAGTCCTGCATACCACAGTGCGGTGCTAGAGACCGAGACTGGTTTGGCCTTCACTCCCAGGTGACTCCGCAGAACTTGCAGTCAAGACTAGACCAGAGCCTGTTCACCCACACTGCCCTCACCCTTACCTGAGAAACGCATCCGATGCTTCACTCTGCATTGCCCATCCCACAAGATCTGTACCTGCAGAGAAGTGTGTTCATAAACCCGCAGAAATTCAAAGGGAAGAACTGCAGGGATATACAATCGGTACACGATGACACAAATTCTACCATCTCACTGCTTTTCTTTCACAGCACACAGGTCCAACAGCATGGCCAGCTCTCCAAGCTGCTGGTTCACAGCTGTGCGCACCAACTCTGGCACAGTGTTGGCAGAAGTGCCTGTTGGATCAAGCTTCCACAGCTCCTGCATATCCAACCACAGCCTGGGACTAAAGCTTTTAAGCTCTGTCAAATAATAATGGTTATCAGTTCGCTCTTCACAATGAAATTCCCTGTTCCCAAAAAGAAGCCGGGAGTTTCACTGAGGTAGCAATAACACAGAAATGTAGAGCGCTGATTCTCAACCACCTATGTAAAGTTCAAAGTAATTTCTTGCTAACCTTGCCTCTTTAAAAACTTTCTAAACATAATTTAGGACTGTATTTTAAGTTGACCACAGGAAGCACAAAACAGGAAAGTCCAGGAGAAGCCTTGTCTTCCCCTCAGGCACTTCCTCTACTAGTGACAAAAGCATAATGCAAAATTGCTACCAAAATGCTTCATGTTTAGGTTATTGTCTTCCTTTTAGGCAAGAAATATTTGTTCATCAAAAATCACAGCCTTGAAGCAACAATGCCTACCTCTGCGTCACTGTGTCTGGTTAGACAGCAAGTTTTTGGGAACATGTCTCTGATAAACCAAGTTAAGGAGTAAACTCAGAAAATGAGCCAGAAAATAAAGTCTGAGAATGATCCAAACAAACCAAAGCTCTTTATTTTTCCTCCCCCTCTTCAAGCACGTTCAGTGTTTAACAGTCATTTGATATGATGCTAGGTCACCCTTTGCTGAAAGTAAATTATCTATACTCCTCTCCACTAGCTAATGGAAGAAAAAGCTCAATGGTCCCTGTAAGGAGAAAGCAGACAATTCAAGCATTCCCACATTAAAAACAGACTTCACAAACAATTGAAAAAGCCACAAATTGTTCCCTGATATCCACATTTATGCAATATCCTCAATCACAATGTTAACAGTGAATTCTCTCTTCCTGCTTAGACATCTAGGCAATAAAAGCAAGAATATACAAAAGACAAAATGTTCACAAAAACTTTTTCACAAATATTAATCACTTTTTTCTTTCCCATGCTGTCTACAAGGCAGCCTAAAGAGCCTTTTTTTAAACTCTGTTTAAGCAAAGTCTGTAACAGGCTCAGTCTCAATGCATGTTTGCTCCAGCCATGACTTGACCCTACATTGAAGGAAGAGTTTGGCATGTGCTAGCAATTAATTTCCATCTCTGCTTCATTTCCATAGACAGAAAAAGAGTATGTGCACCACCAGGTAGACAGATCATGCTCTGTTCTGACCTGGATGACTGGAGAAGCAGGATCTCGAGGTGTCTGCTTCTCAATCTGGACACAGCATCTGATCTCTGCTGTACATCAAACAGGGATGCTTCTCCCCACTGTTCCCCTTGTTATGACAATTTGTGCTTCCCTAGTCTCACTGAAATCTCTACATCCTTCTCTACTTCTCTATTGTTTCCCAAAGCTCCTGACAATCTTGAACAAGAGAAAATTAGACAGCAAAGACATGTTCTTAACCATAAAGGTATTCACACAACTGACAAAGGAAGAGGGAAGGAATAAATAAATAAAAAAAATCCTGAAAATCGACACTGGACTCAGGGAAAGTTTACATTTGTTAGGGATAAGTTTTAGCGAACACTTCAAGATGTTCTCACAGCTCATTGCAAGAACAGCACACAGGTTTTCACTTTAGGTGAACATATAGTCAATAGTCTCCCATTTCACGATGGTTGTTACCACACAGGCAGGATCCGTGTGCATGTTTCTGTTCAAAACTAGTGTTCAATACTATCTGCAGACCCTTCAATATTCCTTCCTCAAAAAATGTTCATCATTTCACCCCAACTTTTGCAACTGGGAGGGCTTTCCTCTCATAAAAGGAAACACTGCTTATGTTCCAATCCTTCAGCAATAAACGACTCACTCTTCTGTGTTACTACAGAAATCAGAAGACAAAGACTTTTTTTAAAAGGGTATTTTTTAGAAGGGGTGGGGTAAACTGCAGCAAGAGAAACTTGCTTGTGTGAGTGCTTTCAGAGTGCAAGAAACAGATAACCGTATATTAATCAGCTTTGGGCTCCAGTTGCAACAGTATTTCTCTCCACATTGAGAGAAAGATCTTGTGACTGACAAAAGCTAAAATCATGCAGGGAAAGTAGCTTTCTAAATCACAGTCTAAGCTGAAGGACTGCAAATCAAAGAGGTCAGGGACTTTGACTACTTCAGCTAATGGGTACACAACAAAAGGCATGATGGGTCCTGAGGCAAGTAGATAAGATAAGCCTCTAAAATGCCCACAGTCTTTCAACTCCTTAACAGCATCTTGGTAATATCAGTTCAAACCAAATCAATTCCTTTAATCCACATTAAAATAGTTCTAACACCACACTGTATATGAAGGAAGCTAACTTGCCTGATTTTTTGCTAATACAGGTGACCCTAGATTGTCAGTCTTCTCTCTACCCTCCCTTTTCACAAAGGCCTAACTCCACTCACTCATGAAGACACCAAAGGTGACATGAGAACATGTGCCCACAGAAGTGTATACATGACACATGAATTAATGCAGTTCTACACCCTGCAAGGCAATTCCTGTGCAGGAGCAGTGGACAGAATCCTCAAAGATGAGCAAGTTTGAACACAGATACGCTCATAACAAATGTCACTACGACTGAAAAATCATCGTCACCTGGGTGGGTCTTATGAACAGTGAAGTCCACCACGCCTGACTGAAAAGAGCCCACCAGTTAAATGTATTCCAGCTTATTAGCCTAAACACTTTTAGAAACAATATTATATTACCTAATATTCCCCCAGTACAACAGGCTCCAAACTACAGTTGCTTTGCTGAGATGCTGTCTTTATTGCAATCTAGAGAAACATGCCAAGTAATATACATAATGCAATAAAAAGATTTTCCATTTGGAATATTTTTATGTGTCAAAATCAAACTCGGTTCATCAGGTCCTACTGAAACCTAAAAGTAAGGCAGTTTCTTTTTGCTTCAGAATAGGGAGTATTCCTCTTGATTTAACACATTAAGGAGTATGGAAGAGAGAAAGCTATCTGCCCTGAGTCTTGAACCCTTTGAGATCTGCCACCTTGCATTAGCAAACTCATTTGCTGGTAGTATCATCATGGGCAAGCTTATAAATAAATAAATAAAAGTCCTTTTCGGATGGTTTTATTTATGTCTACAGTCTGTTGTCCCCTATGTGGGAATGCAGAACAAACTCACAACATGGAGCTATATTCTACATAAAGAGTTCTGCCCAAGACCAAAAAAAAGTACTTTGTATTATATACTATTTCTTTCAAAGTCTTACTGAAAATCTGCAAACATTCACTTTCATCATTCTGAGTACTTATATGATAGCTAATTAGAATATAAGAGAAAGTGAATATATTTATAAATTATTTGGAGGAATACAACATAGTGTCATTCTCCTACTTCCTTAGGCATGCTTTCCCCTATGAGAATCCCATCCTTTAGCGACATATATCCAGGTAACCGTCTTCCTGATGATGCAGGTGTTCCTTACTAAGACAGGCAACGTTCTGTTCCTGATGCTACTGACAGACTCATTAAATACTTCAGTAGCTAGGGGAAAATAAGACATTAGAAGTGTCCTTAACTGTCTTAGTTGGACAATGCTATGCCGATTTTGTGCTCAGAAAAATTTGAGATTTTTAGGGACAAGTGTGCCCCAGAGTGTGCGTGTTACACCTAAAGATTAATTCTTCTAGGTTGTCCTTTTCCCTTTCCATGCAACTGACAACATGCTGCTTTACAGGTAACAGATATTGCTTCCTGTACACAAAGCCATGTAAAATGAGATTTCAGGAAATAATGGATTTTTTTTTTAACTACAAAAATAAGTACTACCCCCTTGCCCAAGAGATTTTCTATTTGAGACTCACAGACTTGCCTGCAAGTACTGCTATCCTCCTCTGCCTCTGGGAAAGGAGATAAATTTTATCAATAAGTAATTAGAACAGAGAGCAAACTGTGTTGTCAGCTGAGCCAATGGAGGTATACCCTGTTATAGTTCCCTCACTTACCACTGCCTACTTACCAAATAAACTGACCAAATGAGTCAATCATTGCAACAAAATGATGTAATGCATAAAAACTTTGAACTAGTAACCTCCAATATTCTTTGAACGCTCTGGAATAACCCCTGCATTAGTCAGGGAGCAGCAAGTACAGGCTGCCACTGCCTTCGTGAGTCACAACAAAAGAAACTTGGCATCTCCTACAGGTTTGTGTAACCCTCCTCCACATGTTCTTCCATGAAAAGCCAGTGTCTCTCAAACTAAGCACATAATACAAGCACATCTGTGATGCTGGCTACAGCCCTACCAGATCCCGTCAATGATATTGGAGCAACGTGTACCCCAATCAACTAGTGCTCCTGATCTGTGCTCCTCTGTGTTTACATACCTCTGTCCATTAAAACAGATGCATTCTGCATTGGATATTTATCCAGCTAATCTTCACCTGAAGACATTCAGAGTGTCTAAGTCAAGCAGTCTAGTCTTATGTTTCCTATAGACGCTTTGCATCTGCAGAATTAATTTCCAATCCCTCATGAAATCCACCAAATTACAAACAGCACTTTTCCAATTACGCAGCCTTCACTGGCTTAGACAGTCCTTCTGTAGAAAGGCAAACTTCAAAATCTACCACCTTGAGACATGTTTCTGAAAACTGCTTTTTCAAGTGGTAGGCATTGTGGATTAACAGTAGAAGCTGAAGCTGCTTCTACCACTGCTTCAAATCCACAAATATTAGCAAAGAATTGTTAATTCTACCCCAGCTTCTTTCTTTCCAATTATTCTTCCTATTCAGCTCCAGTTCCAAACCGAATGTAGAATTCAAGGTATACTG